GGAGAGAGAATCACCTCACGCGGAGGGTAGTCGGGTTGCGCTGCACCAGGGAGCTCCACCATCCTCTGAGTTGCAGACCGCCTAGGAGCAAGTCAAGTGACGAGTTCGCCATCAGGCAGTTCGTCACCAGGTAGTTCGCCATCAGGCAATTCGCCACCAGGCAGTTCGCCACCAGGGAGCACTACCGGCCAGTTCGCCACCAGGCAGTTCGCCCCCAGGCAGTTCGCCACCAGGCAGTTCGCCACCAGGGAGCACTACCAGGCAGTTCGCCACCAGGGAGCACTGCTGGGCAGTTCGCCACCAAGAAGTTTGCCATCAGGCTGTTCGTCACCAGGCAATTTTCCATCAGGCAGTTCGCCATCAGGGAGCACTGCCGGGCAGTTCACCACCAGGCCGTTCGCCATCAGGCAGTTCATCACCAGGCAGTTCGCCATTAGGCAATTCACCACCAGGTAGTTCGCCATCAGGCAGTTCGCCACCAGGGAGCACTGTCGGTCAGTTCGCCACCAGGCAGTTCACCACCGGGCAGTTCGCCACCAGGCAGTTCACCCCTAGGCAGTTCGCCACCAGGGAGCATCACCAGACAGTTCGTCACCAAGTAGTTCTCCCCCAGGGAGTTCGCCACCAAGTAGCTCATCACCAAGGCACGTCACCACCAGGTCAAACACGAGGTACTTAGCCAAAAATAATTTATACATCACAAAAAATGGTACGTGACCAAAAACGGTTACATCAAGATCGTTCTTAAATTCTGTCCATGTGGAGGAACCTTTGGAATTGGACGCGAGGAAACTCTTACAAGATGAAGATTGAGACGAAGTAGACCTGTGCCACGTTATGGCTTGGATGATTTTTGTGGAGTTCTCTGCATTTAATTGGTATAAATAGGTTAGTTACAGGCATAGTTGGATTTATCATTAAGTAGAGATTGATAAATATGAACCAACACAAGTAATGGTAGAATAAGCCATAGAGAGATATATAATTGAACAAACTAAGCTTCCCTGAAATAAGAGAGGAATACCCAGATAAGAGAAGTTGAACCCCTGTAAACTGAATGTGCAACTTTTACAGTTTTACCTGGGAGGACACCCACAAAGTAGAGAAATGTCTGAAAATGAGAAGCTGAGTTTCACATTGTTTTAATCATAGGATCCCCAATCAATCAGATTTTATTGTAAGGTACAAAATTAAATAAAAAAATAAAACAAACTCCTCCATAAATTTGCAGCAGATAAAAAAAAAAAAAAAAAACTTTAAGTAGACCCACATTACGAATCTAAGGAGAA